CTCACTTGAGCCCAGGAGTTGGAGGTTGCTGTGAGCTGAGATGCCACGGCACTCTACCCAGGGGGACAGCTTGAGGCAATTGAGCTTGAGTACAATTCCGTGGTTTTCAGTATATTTAGAGTTGTGCAGCCATCCCCAAAATTTAATTTTAGATTTCCATCACCCTAAAAAAGAAATCTTAGACCTGTAGCATTCACTGTACCTGTAATCCCAGCACTCTAGGAGGCCAAGGTGTGCAGATTGCTTGAGCTGAGAGCAGCCTGAGCAAGAGGGAGACCCAGTCTTTAAAAGATAGCTGGGCATTGTGGTGAGGGCTGTAGTCCCAGCTACTCAGTAGGCTGAGGCAAGAGAATCACTTGAGCCCAAGAGTTTGAGGTTTCTGTGAGCTCTGATGCCAAGGCACTCAACCCCAGGGTGACTGAGTAAGACTCTGTCTCCAAAAGAAAATAAAAAGGAAGAGATTTCTTTCAGGCAGCCATCTCATTTGTGAATGAGTGGACTTTGTCTTTAAAATATTCTGATTCTTAGAAACATTTTTCATTGCATACATAAGAATTATTATCTTGAGTCTTGCACCTAAGGATTCTGTGACACAGAACTAGTTGGGAAGCTGTAACAATCCAGGTGCAAGGTAGTTTGAACTGGGTGAGCGATAGCTGTGGATATAAAAAGAATCTGGATATATTGTGTCATAGAATTGGCAAGGATTTGCTAATGGATTAGTTAAGGGTGTGAGAGAGTATAATCATGCATGGCTTCAAGTTTTGGACCTGAAAAACTGGGAGAATGAGATGGCATTAACTGATGAGGAAGACAGTGACAAGGGTCTGGTTAAGGAGGAGCTAGGAGAGGATCAGGATCTCAGGCCCAATCTTGCAGGAGCCTTTCATGAAGTGTAGTTTAAATTATCCAATACTAAAATTTATATAAAGTGCTCAGGGTACTTTTTACTGTAAATAAAGTAATTCTTAAAATAAACTGCATAATTTTTCCTGAGCTTAGACAATTCTCTTGCCTCGGCCTCCCAAGTTATTGGGACTATAGGCACCCACCACAACGTCCTGCTATTTTTTGTTGCAGTTTGGCCGGGGCTGGGTTTGAACCTGCCACCTTCGGTATATGGGGATGGCGCCCTACCCACTGAGCCACAGGTGCCACCCGAGAAGAACAGCTTTTCAGAAAATGCAACTACTGAGGAGAGCAAAAGGGACAAAAACATGAAGCTTCTGGATTGTTCAGGGAACAGCAAGATATTTAGTAAATAGGGCATGGGGATTGGAAGACTATGTAAGGGAAGATTAAACTAGAAAGGAGGGCCATCCTGCCATAGTGAGAACTTAAAGCTTCATTGTATAGTGGGGAACAGGAGTTGAGAGAGATTGCATGTGTATTTTAGGAAGACAACCATGCAACGTTGTAGGGAGGCCCAGACAGGGCAAGTTTAGAAGCAGATCTTCTAGATGAGAGGGCTTCAATGAGGTAATCAGAGGCAGATCTGATGGAGATTGTTCTGGTTAGTAAAGAGAAAGGGGAAAACTGCCTGGTGTTGGGGAGTTAGGGGTGAGCGGAGTTAGTGATCATTATCTGAGATAGGGAATTGTGGAGGAAGAGCAAGTTGGGGACCAGAAGGTAAGGGTGAACTTTTCATTTTCTTAAGAATGTATTTTGATGACCAGAAGCTTTTAATTTAATTAATTTTTTTTTTTTTTGAAACAGAATCTCAAGCTGTTGCCCTGGGTAGAGTGCCATGGCATCACAGCTCACAGCAACCTCCAACTCTTAGGCTTAAACAATCTCTTGCCTCAGCCTCCTAAGTAGTAGCTGGGACTACAGGCGCCCCACCACAACGCCGGCTATTTTTTTTTTGTTGCAGTTGTCATTGTTGTTTAGCTGGCCCAGGCCAGGTTTGAACCCGCCAGCATTGGTATATATGGCCAGTGCCCTACCCACTGAGTTATGGGCACTGCCTTAATTTTAATAAAGTATTGTTTGTTAACATTATATCTTTTAAAAAAGGACTTTTATATCTCTGAGTTAAAGTTTTAAAATTTTATTTTATTTAAGATTTTTCCTCCCTTCTTTAGACATCATTGACCCTGCAATCCTGCGCCCAGGCCGGCTGGATAAAACACTGTTTGTGGGTTTACCACCTCCAGCAGATCGTCTCGCCATCTTAAAAACTATCACGAAAGTGAGTAAAAGAAGTGATAGATTTTTGTATATGTTTCTCTCGTCTTTAATAGAGGTAGTTACAATATGTAGTTGTAACAGGATGACTACTTTCTTTTCTGTAGCTTTAGATATTTGCTCAACCTGTATCTCACAAAGTGAAGATAAAGTGTTTTTGATAATTGAAGAGATCATTCATTCTCATTTTTATTTGCATTTTATTTGCTCAACCTGTATCTCACAAAGTGAAGATAAAGTGTTTTTGATAATTGAAGAGATCATTCATTCTCATTTTATTTGCATATTTATTTTATTTTATTTACCTTAAATAAAGGTAAGCTAGGCTGGGTGAGGTGGCTCATATAATACTAGCACTTTAGGAAGCCAAGCAGGAGGATCACGTGAGGCCAGGAGTTTAAGACCTACAAGAGCAAGACCCAGTCTCTACAAAAAACAGACAGATTAGCTGGGCATGGTGATATGCACCTATAGTCCGAGCTACTCTGGAGGCTGAGGCAGAAGAATCACTTGAGGTCAGGACTTTGAGGTTACAGTAAGCTATCTTTTTTTTTTTTTTTTTTGAGATACAGCTTCAAGCTATTGCCCTGGGTAGAGTGCTGTGGCATCACAGCTCACAGCAACCTCGAACTCCTGGGCTTAATCGATTCTCTTGCCTCACCCTCCTGAGTAGCTGGGACTACAGGTGCTCGGCACAACGCCCAGCCATTTCTTGGTTGTAGTTGTCATTGTTTGGCAGGCCTAGGCCAGATTTGAACCTGACAGCTCTGGTGTATGTGGCTGGCCCCTTAGCCGCTTGAGCTACAGGCACCACCCAACAGTAAGCTATCTTGACTACACTCTAACCTAGGCTACAGAGTGAGACCCTATCTCAAAAAATGAAAATAAAATGAAATAACTAATAATATATTAGTTAATTCTCAACTAATATATTTGAGATACTACTCTAATCACATTTTCTATTCTTTTAGATCTTTAATTATTACTTTAGAAGAATTGCTCTCAGATTATACTTGAAATAATATAGAAAGTTTTGAAGATTAAAAAATAGATACAGTAAATTTCTCAAAAAAATTGAATTTTAAAACCACTATGTCAAACTCTGTCCTCCATGTTGGTGTATGCCAACTTTTTTTTTTTTTTTTTTTTGAGACAGAGCCTCAAGCTGTCCCCCT